GGAATAATGGAATTGGCCTAAAATGGGAGTCAAAGTCGGCAAAATCACCAATGCATAAATATCACTGATGCATCAAAATTCATGAGCGTAATTTCATTAATTTTCCATCAAATTTTGTACTTTTTGCTTTATTACCTTCAGAATATGATTCTCTACCATTTCAGAAAAAAAAATAACAAAACATTTTGTTGAAAATTCTTGGACCTTGGCTGTCAATCTGAGATTTGGCCTCTGGACCCTGAAAGGGTTAATTAATTACATGACCTACACATGCAATACTTTTTAAAAAGTAAACACCATTCCAATATTTGTTTAAGTTATACATAATTTGTGGCATAATTATTATACAGAGAATTTGTAGTGTGGAAATTAGGAGATGTGGAGCTACTAAAAGTATCATTCAGAGAGCTGAGGAGAGGTTATTGAGGTAGTTTGCTCATTTAGAGAGGATGAAACAAATTAGGATGACTTGGAGGGTGTATAAATCTGTAGTGGAGGGAAGAAGGGGTCGAGGCCATCCTAGGAAAGGATAGAGGGAGGAGGTAAGAGAAGTTTTGTGTGAAAGGGGCCTGAATATACAGCAGGGATGTGTGAGAGTGTTAGGTGTTAGTGGAGACAAATGGTTTTTGAGAGTTGATGATCTGTTGGAGTGTGAGCAGGGTAATATTTTGTGAAGGGATTCAGGGAAACCAGTAAGCTGGACTTGAGTCCTAGAGGTGGCAAGTACAATGCCTTCAGTTTAAAGGAGGGGTTTGGGATATACTGTTGTTTGGAGTGACATCTGAACTGTCATATCTCTGGAGCTCTGCAAAGACAGTGATGTGTGAGTGAAAGTGTGTCTTTCTTTTGTGGGTTACTCTGCCTCGGTGGGAGATGGCCAGCGTGTTGAAAGAAAAAAAAAAAGAAAAAAAGGTATAGCTTTACTCCCATGGAAGACCCAATCATAATACTGAATGTGACATCACCACCATCAATATGATGCTATACTAATATTCCACAGGAATACAGCTCTATCTTGATACACTAGTAAATAACACTACAGAATCAAAGAAACAAATGAATAAATTTTGATAAACATAACAAGCATTAAAACACAAAGCCCCAGAATAATATTTGGGAATACACTGAAGGTACAGTACTGGGTGAAACAAGTAGTTTGAGATCCCATAATTCATAACAATGATAACAAATTTTCTATCTTACTGTGCATATTCAGAATTTTCCAACTAAACAGAAACTTATGTACATTCCAATTTCTATTACAGTAACTATTAGAAAAATATTTTCTCTTATATACAGAAAAAATAAGAATCAGAGGCATTTGAAATAAAAAATTAGTTTTCTCTCTCCAAATTTTCCTTTTTTGAGAAAATTCCAGAAATTAGATTGTTTCCAATTTAAAATTAAAAAAATCTATTTCTTGCTGATACAGTACTACAAGGATTCAAAAAATTGCAATAGTATATGACTGACTGTTACTGTACTGTACAGTAACTATAATTTAGTGCAAACAATGTGAAGCAGACTAATCATAATTGTGAATATACTGTACAGTACTGTATAGTATACAGTGAGGATACACATAAGTGAGTGGGAGTGATTATTTGCATATTTATAGGTACAGGAACAGACCTAAGCTTGTTACATTTTGTCTACATTATTAAGTCAATTGTTTTAAAAATTTGTAGTTTCCAGTGGTTGTAGCATTTGTTATTTTCTCTTGTGAACTAAGCTTGTATTTTGTCTTCAGCTGTAATCTACTACTCTTCATCTGTAGTAGATTAAGTCTGCCCTAAATGCCTTGGCATGATAGTGGCTTTCTTTGTACTTATCAAATTATGAAATGTAAGTGCACATTGTAACCTCAGCAAAGAAATAATTTAGTATTAAGCCAATCATAGAAGTCTGTAGTTTCCAGTGGTTGTAGCACTTGATATTTACCCGTGTAAACAATTCCATAATTTTAATTAGAAAATCTTTCAGTATCTTTTCAGCAGCTCTTCTTTTCTTAGTTTATAGTTAACGTATCTTCTTGTACTAGTTGATAGAGTAGGACATCTTCCTTGCTAATTCTTTCATATATTTTTATGATCATGAATGTGGTTATTATGTCTCCTCTATTCTAATATGCCAAAGATGGCAAATCCAATACTTTTAGCCATATTTAGTTATTTAGCTCTGGAACCCATTTCATAGCACACACACCTTTAAACTTTTTTCTAGCTTGTCCACGTATTTAGGTGTGTATACCATACCATCACTGCATATGCCAATTTTGGTCTACTGCCTGATGTGGGTACGTGTAAATACCTACAGTTTTTATAATTAGAGAAGAACTATGCTCTTGGTATTTTGTTTCTAATTAATTTTTCATATGGCACAGATATTTTTAATTTTTGTTATAACATAACACAACAACTACCTCCTCCAAGTCTATTCTAGTTCTCTACCTTTTTCTTATGCGATTTCTAGATGGTATACTTTTTTCCTCAATTTAGATTTTAAGCCTGTGGTTGTCCAAGTTGCTTTTCATAAATTTGTATATGGTTATTCTCTCCTCATTCTTTATAGATCATAATTTTATAATTCCAAGATAAATTTTGCTGCACTTCTTGGAATATCTTCCAATTTTTGTGTTTCTCTAAGTGTCATCATCATACTACATCTACATACTGTATACAGTACTGTAAATAATTTCTTTGGCATTTCTCCAGCAACATACAGTATTTGAAAGCTGTCTTAAAGGTTACTACCAAAGTGTAACAAAGTATAACATTCTCTCACTGCTGCACATGCAATATGTGGCTCTCTGGTGATGTTCTGATATTTCTGGAACAATCACCCAAAATGCAGATATTTTATCTTGAAATATATTCTACATATTTACTGTATTCACACTTTTGACAGTTTCCATTACACAACACTTTTAAAATTAAATTCCATTACTTAATTCAGTTTATTTGAATCATAATATTGTTTAATCTAGGGTCATAACCAAAGTCAAAACAAAATGGGCACTATGAAATAACCCTGAATAATCAATGCTACTGTACTTGCAGGAGACCCTTCATTAAAAATATTTAGTAATCAAAGCACTAATTAGTAAGATTGATAATATGAGGGTTTAACTGTACAGTAAATGAGATTTCTTACAATTCAATGGGCAGTCAAATATATAGATGTATATGTAATATGAGATTTCTTACAATCAAAAATATATGTAATGCTCCATGAGATCATACTACGTATATTGAAATCATATGCAATCAGAATTATTTTTTTTCTAACATTGCACACACACATTCAACAGAGAAAAAGACACAGGGTAAATGAAGGAGCAAACTACATACTATTTAAAATAGACCTAAAAAGTGAATTAATTATGTGCACATAAATAGAGAAGGAAGAACAATATGTGTCCTATAAAAATTATGTGCTATTAATACTGTACTACTAAAGAAAACACAAATGGGAAGGGGGAACCTCTAACTACCTTGGAGATCAACCTTCTCGGGTGAATCTGGACGTGGTGTAGAGGGCAGGTCAGGCAGGAGCAAACACGGAGGAGAAGGAAGGGTTAATATAAATAAGGCTAAGTCAATACTGCCTCGATGTGTTATGTTTCATACGAGCAAATAATTCTACAGAAACAAAAAAATACCAAAACAATAACAAACAAATTAATGCATAAAAGAAAAGGGCTAAAAATCTACTAATACATAATCCACGTGCTGAAACAAAAAATAATTAAACAAAACATTTACCACTCATGCCCTGTGACATACACCTTCACCTCCACTAGACACATGAATGATGCTAAACTAGAGGTTAGCAAAGTGTACTCCTCAAAAGTTAAAAAGAAATCCAAATAACCACACTAAATTTAACCACCACAACAGATAAAACTATAGCATATGAAGCAGAGCTGTGTAGAGAATCCCCCATGCCACCGAGTATATTTAAGGATACATGCCACTATGCATCTAATGTATGTAAAGAGTAACACTGATTATTCCACTACCATCCTAAATTAATTGACATATTGAATGAACACAGTTTGTACATAAAGTATATTGAGAATTCTAAAATACAGATTAATTCTCCCTATAATACATTCATAAAGTACACAGTATAGAATAATTTTCACATGTCAGTAACCAGAAATGAATGATCATTTAAGGTTTGCTTGACCTTATCATGCATCAGCCTAGTTGGAATTTTATAATTGTACTTTTAGTTAAGCTTTTATTTCCTATTTCGTTAAGCATAATATTTCCTTAAATTTGGAATAATTTGAAAACAATCTTTAGTAAATTAATAATAATGTTATATATTTACACTTATTCTCATGATGAATAAAGGTGGATATCAATAAATGAAACTAACTTTCTCTAGCAAACCACAACACCCAAAGTAAGTTTGCAGGGTTAAAATGTGAGAAAGATGTAAAGAATATTTTTGTTATACAAGTTTATTTACACCTAGCTTATGTTAGTGACAAAAACAGCTGTACCAGCCAGTTAAAGAAGTGATACTGTAATTTACCAAGAGGAATAAAAAGTCTCATGATAAAACGATGTCTCAGTCACTGACTACAAACAGGAAATAGGAAGCAAAAACTTTCAATTTACTGAGAGACTGTCATTGGTGCCAAATCTGTTATGTTAGGCAAGAGTCTGCTATGAGATGCTCTGACTTATGCCACCACTTCCCAATTTACAGTGGGTAATTAAAACACCAGCTTATACTATAGCTGAAAGCAAATATCATTAGCAGGTGAGAGGTATCCAGTTTTTCTTACATGATTTAAAACATTAAATACTGTATTAATATGCAAGAAAAGCAAGACTGCATAATGGAAGCTTGCAAGCAAAAGTAGGCTACGTATTACATATATGCAAATTCAACGTGCTCAAGTTGTCATGCAAATTCAACGTGCTCAAGTTGTCATGCAAATACAATATTAAAATGTTCAAGCTATTTTATTGTTCCTCACTTGCCTCTATCTCTTGAACCCAGTGTCCGTCCTCCAAACTCGCACCCATCTTAGTAAGCCAAAAATGATACCATGGAGTTAGAGAACACTTTTTCCTGTTTATGGTCCAATTTTGAAGATTCCCATCTGATACTCAAAGCTAATTATATCATAAAATTTCTTAACTGATTTTAAATATTAATTCTAAATGTTACTCATTTCCTTTCACTATAAACAGCAATTCTGTATGAAACTAATAAACAGTATCAGTTACTGAAGCCTGATTACCAAATATAAAATACAAGACTTTCATTTCATTGATTAACTGAATAAATTTAACAACAAATTTTGTTTGCAAATCCATAATTGCATAAAATTGACTGTCGTTAACTTATCTAAAACCTAGTCTCAAGTATATTCACTGAATTTGAGAGATCAAAAATGGAACATGATAAGTCAGAGAGTAGCTAACTGCATTAGAATACCTTAATATTTTCATTAACCCACAAAAATACATGAATTGAAGAAATGGTTTTATGCATTCAAAGCAATACCCGTTTTAAATACCCGTACAGTTCCATTTGATTGTGATCATTTTTATTATATAAATTACATAAAATAAAGGGTACATTTAATTTAGGAAAATTCTGAGATTTCTTCAAAACTGGATTAACAATACATGATTTGTCCTTGATAAAAGCAATAATGCATCCTTAGGGAGAAAAAGCCAGTGACACCATCACCATGTTTAATATACTGTACCTCAGTTTTCGTATGCCGTACTCTGTATGTAAAACTATAGTTATTCTCTATAAAATGTATTTTTTGTTAATATTTTTGGGTGTCTGGAATGGATTAATTTGATTTACATTATTTCTTATGGGAAATATCAACAAAAAATATATTTTATAGCAAATTACTACAGCTTTACATACAGACTAGGGCATACGAAAACCGAGGTTCCACTGTATATGGTAGCAATAAATACCATGAAGAACAAAACATTTAGAAACTACCTCACTAATAAAAAAGGATATTGTCAGTTAAAAATTATAATTGAGAGGGAATTATTTTACTGCCTATAACAATGTGTTATAGTAAAATGGAAATTAGACATGCCAAGAGTTTACATAATCTAACCTTTTTCTTTATGTATATAAAAAACATAATTATTTAAAAAAACTCTCTTAATAATTAATAGATAATACAATACAGTATACTGTATTACAGTGTGATCATATGATAATGTGTGCTCATCTGTTTGAAAGGCATGAGCTTCAGACAACTTAGTAATGTTAAATTTAAATTTGAAGTTTAACAAAATTCAATTTTCATATGTATTATGCATCATGCTTTCATATTTATTATGTATCATGCTTTCATATTTATTATGTACCATGCTCCACTTCCATATAAAAAAATGTCATTAGTACCTGTTTGTTGTTACATTAAAGTATTACTACTAACTGATCAATATGTTCATTAGGATTAGCATTACAGTACTTTTTATTTATATACAGCTATTATGTTTTTCATATGGTACATATGCACAATATTTTTTTTTATGTTTTATTAATATTACTCTTAGATTAACTGCCTGAAATACTTTGAATTTTTTGCAGTCAAGTAATTTTTAATTTCTGGTTAAAGTGTGCCTGAAATGTTCTGTGTAAGCAAGGCTTTCCATTCTGTAAGAAATGTCATCTAATTTTGTAATAATTGTGTACTTTTCTGAAATAAATATTTTTATTATTAGTTTCTGGGACTAAACTCTTTAATCATTAACCCTTTCAGGGTTTCGGCTGTACTAGTATGGCTTATGCCCCAGGGTTTTTGATGTACTAGTATGCCTAAATTCTAGCGCCCTCAAATCTTGTGAGAGAAAGCTGGTAGGCCTACATATGAAAGAATGGGTCTATATGGTCAGTGTGCGCAGTATAAAAAAAAATCCTGCAGTACACAGTGCGTAATGAGGAAAAAAAAAACTTTGACTGTGTTTTTGGATTAAAACAGCAATTTTGCACTGTATTTTCGTAAGGTATTTATTGTTGTATTCTAGTTTTCCTGGTCTCATTTTATAGAATGGAAGACATATTACAGAAATTGAGATGATTTTGACTGGTTTTACAATGAAAAGTACCTTGAAATTGAGCTCAAAGTAGCAGAAATGTTCAATTTTTACCAAAGTTCAAAAGTAAATAAATCATGCCAAGCGTCCAATACACGTCAACTGGTGAGTCTAATATTCTTTCACAAGTGCGCTGATATTATTTATACCATTTCTACACTAATGCAGTAGTCTGCGTAACAGTAAATCTTCTATTTTTTGTAAGAATAAAAATTCAAAGTGGAAAGCCAAAGAAATATAAGAGGAGCCTGGGGATGTGACTAACGAACAGAGAACTTGTTATTTTAGTGCCAGGAATGTCTCTCTTGTTTATTCTGGACCCTATTTGGAAATTGGCATCTTTTGAAATTTGTGTGAAATTGGCAAAATTGCTAAATTCTGACCACTTTATTGGATAGTTGAAATCGGTAAATGGGTGGTTTCTTGTACTCAATCGATAGAAAAAATGGAGTTCTAGCGGAATAGTTATGATTTTTGTCGACTGGTACACTGTAATTGGCCGAAAATAGGGGTCAAAGTGGGCAAAATCGCCGATGCGTAAATATCGTCGAGACCGCTAACTTCACGAGAGCATAATTCCGTAAGTTTCCATCAAATTTCATACTTTTGGTGTCATTATGATTGGGAAAAGATTCTCTATCTTTTTATAAGATTTTTTTTTTTTTTTTTTTTTAATTTGGCCGACCCTGAGAACAAGTCTCGGAGAGGGCCTGGGGACCCTGAAAGGGTTAAGCAACTGGTATGTAATCACTTAGCTGTCATTGCCTACTTGTGAATACTTATATGTATAGCACTGGTAGTTATAGGCATGAAGCTATGCTCAGAGTTTGGTTTATCAAAAAAAAAAAGAAAAGAAAAAAAATACAGTGAATGTAGCAAAACTACCTTTTCTTGAGTCTCATTCTATCAGATGACTTTAAATTACTGATAAATACAGTATCTCACCCATTTCTTCCAACTCTGTTGTTGGCCTTAACTTTTCACAAGTTATCTTTCAAAGCAAATTAGTTTTCACAAACATGAATGGGAACTTTGGCTTTGCCTTGCTCTTATTTATTCATTTTTTAATTCTTTCATCTCCTTAAATTGGTAATGTATATTAATATGTCTTGTCTGTATCTAATTAATTTCTGGGTTACTGCACTTTATTTAATGGTTTCAAGATTTTCTTTCTTTTTTCACTGCTTTATAGCAACTTCTATTGAATCATTCTTTTTTGGTTCATCTGTTTTTTAGTTTGGAATGAGATGTTTGATTAAAGATATGAATTCAGAAGAAACAATGCAATATCCCTAAGGCCAGAACCAAAAAGATCATTTATCAGTAATCTATTATAAATGGTATCAAATGCAGCAGAGAGGTCCAATTCATTTTCCTCAATTTTGGAATAAGACTAATTGAAAACCTCTGTAGTTTCTTGAGCTTCCATACATATGTGCATGCAAGCGAATATTTTAAATAAAGTAACTCTAATTTACAAATTATTATGCAAGATATATAGTCCATGTGATTTTAATCTAAATCTTACATTTATAATTAGGATTAACTAAAGTGAAGTTACCCATATATAAAAAAAACAGTGTAAGAATAACTTGCTGCATAGTAGAGCATTACACAATACTTACCCTTGCTGTAGAGAACAGGGATATGGTCACTGGCCAACTTTTCCTTGGTCTTAATGCCCACTACAAGAGGGGAGCCTCGTCTTGTAGCCACAATTTCACCTGGGAAGTGCTTGCTCTTGAACGCCAGAGCAAAGGCTCCCTCCTATAGGATGGATGAAGGATTAAAGGGTAGTGCAGAGTGAATTAAATTTTAGTAGTTTAAGCATATACCTATACCATATTTCTTAAATTTGCAAGAAAAATATGTATTGTGCCTAAATCTAGCTACTTTCAATATTTTTTTAATAAAGGAAGGATTTTTAAATTCAATGAGAAATTTTAAAATGTTGCATACATATCTCAATGACAAATAGATTTAGGTTTCCCAGGTAGTTAAACTACACCAGGTAAATTCCTGAGGGAGAGGGGGGTTAACAGACCTAACCCCCCATATACATAATTCAGAATTACACAGACAGCTTAATTAAATGGCAGATATAGTTTCCAAGCACTGACCCTGCCCTAGGAGCAACTGATATTGTATGTGTAATACAAGTATGGTATTTGAGATGTTCTAGTGAGCTCATTTTTTTGCATTCCTGAATCATGCTGGCTGTTATTCATGATAGCTAAAACGACGAGTCTTAAAAATCCCAAGACAGCTGTGAGACCTCTACCACACTTCAACTTATTCTCTTAATATTTTATACTGGTGAAAGTTTATTCTTTTTTTTTTTTGGGTTTACCCTTCCCCGGTGGGGGATAGATGACTGTTGCCCAAAAAAAAAAATTTTATATGAAAGTAGTAAAGTGTGTGTGTACGTTTTAAATACCCAATTGTGGGTTTCAGGGGTCAAAAACTTTAGCTCCTGGCCCTGCCAAGGGGTGTGTTTTATATTTTTATATTTTTTTTTTTTTTTTTTTTTTTTTTTTCACACTGGCCGATTCCCCCCAAGGCGGGGTGGCCCAAAAAAAAAAAAATTTTCACCACTTCATCCATCACTGTCTTGCCAAAGGGGTGTTTACACTACAGTTTTTAAACTGAACATTAAACCCCTCCTTGGTGCAGGCACTGTACTTCCATCTCCAGGACTAAAGCCGGCCTGCCTTTTTCCTGAACCCTTCAAAAATGTTACTTTGCTCACACCCCAAAAGCACGTCAAGTTTTAAAAAACCCATTTGTCTCCATTCACTCCTATCAAACACGCTCACGCTGCCCTGGAAGTCCAACCCCCTCGCCACAAACCTCCTTTACCCCCCCTCCCTCCAACCCTTCCTAGGCCGACCCCTACCCCGCCTTCCTTCCACTACAGACTGATACACTCTTGAAGTTATTCTGTTTCGCTCCATTCTCTCTACATGTCCGAACCACCTCAACAACCCTTCCTCACCCCTCTGGACAACAGTTTTTGGTAATCCCGCACCTCCTCCTAACTTCCAAACTACGAATTCTCTGCATTATATTCACACCACACAATTTTATATATATATATTATATTTAAAATGTATATAATATATATATATATATATATAATATATAAAATTTATAGATGGGGTTGTAAAGGAAGTAAATGCTAGGGTGTTTGGGAGAGGGGTGGGATTAAATTATGGGGAATCAAATTCAAAATGGGAATTAAACACAGTTACTTTTTGCTGATGATACTGTGCTTATGGGAGATTCTAAAGAAAAAATTGCAAAGGTGAGTGGATGAGTTTGGGAATGTGTGTAAAGGTAGAAAGTTGAAAGTGAACATAAAAAAAGAGTAAGGTGATGAGGGTGTAAAATTTGTTTTAGATAAAGAAAAATTGGATATCAAATTGGGGAGGAGGAGTATGGAAGAAGTGAATGTTTTTCAGATACTTGGGAGTTGACGTGTCGGCGGATGGATTTATGAAGGATGAGGTTAATCATAGAATTGATGAGGGAAAAAAGGTGAGTGGTGCGTTGAGGTATATGTGGAGTCAAAAAACGTTATCTATGGAGGCAAAGAAGGGAATGTATGAAAAGTATAGTAGTACCAACATCTTAATGGGTGTGAAGCTTGGGTGGTAAATGCAGCAGCGAGGAGACGGTTGGAGGCAGTGGAGATGTCCTGTTTAAGGGCAATATGTGGTGTAAATTTTATGCAGAAATTCGGAGTGTGGAAATTAGGAGAAGGTGTGGAGTTAATAAAAGTATTAGTCAGAGGGCAAAAGAGGGGTTGTTGAGGTGGTTTGGTCATTTAGAGAGAATGGATAAAAGTAGAATGACATGGAAAGCATATAAATCTATAGGGGAAGGAAGGCGGGGTGGGGGTCGTCCTTGAAAGGGTTGGAGAGGGGGGGTAAAGGAGGTTTTGGGGGTAAGGGGCTTGGACTTCCCAGCAAGCGTGCGTGAGCGTGTTAGATAGGAGTGAATGGAGACGAATGGTACTTGGGACCTGACGATCTGTTGGAGTGTGAGCAGGGTAAATATTTAGTGAAGGGATTCAGGGAAACCGGTTTATTTTTCATATAGTCCGGACTGAGTCCTTGAAATGGAAAGTCAATGCCTGCACTTTTAAAGGAGGGTTTGGATATTGGCAGTTTGGAGGGATTGTTGTGTTCTTTTATATGTGTAGCTCTAGACTGGTTGTATTCGACACCTCTGCAAAAAAGGATAATTGCGAGTGTGGTGAAAGGTTGAAGATGATGAAATATTTTCTTTTGGGGATTTTCTTCTTTTTGGGTCACCCTGCTCGGTGGAGACGCCGACTTGTTGAAAAAAAAAAAAAAAAATAATATATATATAATATATATATATATATATATATTTTTAAACAGTCGGGTCTTCTCCCACCGAGGCAGGGTGACCCAAAAAGAAAGAAAATCCCCAAAAAGAAAATACTTTCATCATCATTCAACACATTCACCTCACTCACACATAATCACTGTTTTTGCAGAGGTACCCAGAATACAACAGCTTAGAAGCATATAAGTATAAAGATACACAACATATCCCTCCAAACCGTCAATATCCTGAACCCCTCCTTTAGAGTGCAGGCATTGTACTTCCCATTTCCAGGACTCCGGCTATATAAAAATAACCGATTTCCCTGAATCCCTTCACTAAATATTACCCTGCTCACATTCCAACAGCTCGTCAGGTCCCAAATACCATTCATCTCCATTCACTCCTATTGAACACGCTCATGCACGCTTGATGGAAGTCCAAGCCCCTCGCCCACAAAACCTCCTTTACCCCCTCCCTCCCACCTTTTTGAGGACGACCCCTACCCCACCTTCCTTCCCCTACAGATTTATACGCTCTCCATGTCATTCTACTTTGATCCATTCTCTCTAAATGACCAAACCACCTCAACAACCCTTCTTCAGCCCTCTAATACTTTTATTAACTCCACACCTTCTCCTAATTTCCACACTCCGAATTTTCTGCATAATATTTACACCACTAATTGCCCTTAGACAGGACATCTCCACTGCCTCCAACTGCCTCCTTGCTGCAGCATTTACAACCCAAGCTTCATACCCATATAAGAGTGTTGGTACTACTATACTTTCATACTTTGCATGTTGCACTGTAATAACTTTGTACCTCACTGTATCATGTTCAAATTAATAAATAAATAAATAAATTCCCTTCTTTGCCTCCATAGATAACTTTTTTTGTCTCCACATATACCTCAATGCACCACTCGCCTTTTTTCCTTCATCAATTCTATGATTACCTCATCCTTCATAAATCCATCCATATACAGTGGACCCCCAGTTTACGATATTATTTCATTCCAGAAGTATGTTCAGGTGCCATTAATGAACGAATTTGTTCCCATAAGGGACATTGTGAATTAGATTAGTCCATTTCAGACCCCCAAACATACACGTACAAACGCACTTACATAAATACACTTACATAATTGGTCGCATTGGGAGCTGATAGTAAAGCGGGGGTCCACTGTATATATATATAATTTTTTTTTTTCAACAAGTCGGCCGTCTCCCACCGAGGCAGGGTAACCCAAAAAAGAAAGAAAATCCCCAAAAAGAAAATACTTTCATCATCATTCAACACTTTCACCACACTCACACATTATCACTGTTTTTGCAGAGGTGCTCAGAATACAACAGTTTAGAAGTATATACATATAAAGATACACAACATGTCCCTCCAAACTGCCAATATCCCAAACCCCTTCTTTAAAGTGCAGGCATTATACTTCCCATTTCCAGGACTCAAGTCCAGCTATATAAAAATAACCGGTTATAAAAATAACCGTTTTTTTTTTTTTTAACAAGTCAGCCGTTCCTGGTAATATGTTGGTTATAACTATGACCATAATTTTTAAAGGGGTAAACTGGTAAGCCAGCAGAAGGCCTCAGTCAGATGACCAAAAGCTCCAGTGGCAGGTCATCATTTGACTAAGACCCAAGTCAGGAGGCACTTGTCCTGTTTCCTGACAAACCTTACCTAACCTAACCTTCTGTTTCTTAAACTTACTGTAGTATTTATACTTGTAAAATTTTAATCCTAATCTAAAAAGGCTTGGTCTGTATATTGTAAATAGTACTGTATACAATGGGTACTTATAAGTTGACGAGTAAGACACATGCACAACACTTAGATATTTATATAGTCAAAATGCATTGCTTGCTTAGTAGGCTTCTTTAGGTGAATACAGGAATTGATCAGCCTCTCAGCCTTGATAGACGGTCAGGCTAAGGGATGACCACCATCTATCAAGGCTGAGGGACTGATCACCTAAAAATTACCTCTTCACTCACACTGCATTTCATACACATCTCATTCTGACATGGTGTTTCAGACTAATCCATATCACTACAGAAGCACTTAAGCCAAATTACATCAGATAAAATGCTGTCCTAAGAGCTACTCACAACTTACCAGCTGCTGAATAACCTGCTCGACCAACTCCCTAAAGGAGTATGAAGGGTGGAGGACATGGAGGTGTTTGATCAGCTTGGCGATGACCTCTGTGTCTGTGTCAGACTCAAACTTATGCCCCTTTTGCACAAGGAACTGCTTCACAAACTTGTAGTTGGTGATGATGCCTGCAAAGGGCAGAAAAAAAAAAAAATTTATGGCATTACTGACAGAGGTTAAGTTTCACATGCATTGTTTGAAAGGAGGGAAAAGGAAGCAAGGAGAATCAAGATGATATCTGCCTGAATGCAGAGAGAGAGAGAAAAAGTCACTTGTGATATCTTCCAAGGAAAAGAAAAAAATATCTGATATCTACCTAGAGGAGGAAAGTCACTGGTGACATCTGCCTATGAGGAGAGGAATTTAAGTAATTGGTGATAATTTAGTAGCACAAAAAAGTCACTCGTGATGCCTTCCTAGAAAGATAAAAGAAAACCAGTAACTACTATTGTCTTTCTGAGGAGAAAGAAAAAAGTAAGTGCTTAAGTCTGACTAGGAAGAAAGAAAACTTATTGGTGGTGTGTACCTATGAGGTAGAAAAAATGAGAGCCAGTGGTGGCAGGTGCCAAAAAAGAGAGACAAGGGAAGAGTGACATTTTTAATTCACTGATGTTGATGTAGAACTGGTAGAAGAAAGGTATATTTAAAAGACTGACTGAGGTGAGGGGACTAGCATTTTGTTAAGGAAAGTGAATATAAATGCTTGAATGCAGAATAGATGGAGATCATGTCTATTTCATCTTTCGCTAACATTACTGATACTGACACTAACAATAATAAAAAATTATTTAATGCATACCATTGTGGACGACAACAAACTCATTGTCGTTATCGGACCTCTGTGGATGGGAGTTGATATCTGATGGGACACCATGAGTTGCCCAACGAGTATGAGCAATACCAACATGGATATTCAATTCCCTCTCGAAGCCAAGAGCATCCTTCTGTGCTTCAATCTTGTCTCTTAGGCACTTGACCTTGCCAGACTGCTTCACCAACGTCACACCATTTGTCACAGAGTCAATGCCAATGCCTGGGAAAAACAAAATGTATTACTAATTACAGACCACAATATAAAGCATATTTACACTCGATGTACAGGATATTTTTCATCTCATCTCATTCTTTGTACATTTTGTCAATCAAGTTGTGTTGTACTTTTTTTTATCACTGTTGCCATTGTCCACAAAGATTGGGTTACTTGAAGAAGGAAACACATTCATCATCACTCATTCAATGGCTGTCTTGTCAGCAATGCATGAGCATTACGATTCAAATTATTCTTTGTAATATCACACTAAAGAATTTATGATTCTGTTGCTCCAAAAAGGCACACTATATCTTGTAACACATGAACAAATAAGAAACTTATATTGGTTATAATTATAGCTGAGTTAAAAATGCAAAAATGTATAAACACTTAATAGGGGCAAAATGTATATTCATTAAACAAAGGAAGAGCCAATAATGGGTGGAACAGTAGCAAGAGTAACAATAACATGAGGAAAGAGGTGCAATAGGAAGAGTAAGCAATAAGAATGGTGGAGGCTCAATCCTTCTCCTCCTGAGCACGAGACAAACATGTTTCTTACATGTACTCACCCATAAAGGGACACATACTGCCAGGGAGACATTCAGGCTCTTTCCAAGGGAGTGATAAGTTCAGTTCCTTAGAACAAAACCCCTTATCAGCTTAGAATTTGGAGAGATATGATTGAAGTGTACAAATGAAAAACAGGAATAAATAGAGGAAATATAAATAACCTGTTGAATACAATACTGTATATCTAATCAAGACAGGACTCACAGCAATGGATTCAAGCTGAAGAAATTAAGATTTATAAGAATATTGGGAAATACTGTTTAGCAACAGAGTTGTAGATGAATGGAACCAACTCCCAGGTAGCATCACTGAGGCAGGAACTTTGGGTAGCTTTATATATAGATTAGGCAGTCACATGAGTGAGTGTGAGTTGAATCTGTCAAGCACAGGCCAGTAGGCCTGCTGCAGTGTACCTTCGTACTTATGGTCTCATGTAGTGGACACCTCAAGGTCATATGCTACATGGGGAATTGGAAATAATCATGTTTGATCTGAAGGGAGAGAGGATGGGTCCATTTTATTGATTCCAAAATCTTTCACACCATCAAGGCATCCCTTCCTTGAAAGGTCAGAAGTAAGAGTAGCAATATGAACGACAGCAGCAGTAATGACTGGAAACTTGGTTGAAGCACCTAAAGCAAGAGCGAAGATATAAAGGCAAATCATATAAATGACAGCAGAAAAGGAAAAAAGGTTGCAGAGCAAGATTTAAGTGTGACAACACTGTGCTCTATCCAGAATTTCAGCATGACAAAACTCTACATTGAGCAAAAAGCTGCCACAATAAAAAACTTGCTCTGTACCTGTATTTTTTCTTAGTAAATACAGGAGCAGTAGCATTAGAAGAAGCAGTAGCATTAGGAGGAGTAGTAGCATTAGGAGGGGTGGTAGCATTAGGAGGAGCAGTAGCATTAGGAGGCGCAGCAGCATTAGGAGGTGCAGTAGCATTAGGAAGTGCAGTAGCATTAGGAGGAGAAGTAGCATGAATCATAATACGTAATAATATCTTTATTTATTACATGCACATGGTATACAGGCCTAGCTGACATCAATGACATACTACAGTACTATATAGAAAGCCACTAGTTATGTAGAGCATTTTGGGCAAATTAGGTCAGTTTTGTCCCAGGATGGGACCCACACCAGTCGACTAACTCCCAGGTACCCATTTTATTGATCTACCTGGAGTCTACCTGGAGGGTATTACGGGGATCAACGCCCCGGGAGTGGTCATCTCCAGTTTTCCATAATGGAGTAGTTGGAATTTGTCTTCAATGATCATCATATTGTTTTCCGTTGCCCATTGGAAAACAATAAAGCTAACAGAATTCTTGGCTTCATATCTAAAAATATAAATAACAGAAGTCCTCAGGTTGTTCTTCAACTCTATATATCCTTGGTTAGGCCTCATTTAGACTATGCTGCTCAGTTCTGGTCACCGTATTACAGAATGGATATAAATGCTCTGGAAAACGTACAGAGGAGGATGACAAAGTTGATCCCATGTATCAGAAATCTTCCATATGAGGATAGAATGAGGGCTCTAAATCTGCACTCTCTCGAAAGGTGTAGAATTAGGGGGGATATGATCGAGGTGTATAAATGAAAAACAGGAATAAATAAAGGGGATGTAAATAGTGTGCTGAAAATTTCCAGCCAAGACAGGACTCGCAGCAATGGTTTCAAGTTGGAAAAATTCAGATTCAGGAAGGATATAGGAAAGCACTGGTTTGGTAATAGTCGTGGATGAGTGGAACAAACTCCTGAGTACAGTTATTCAGCCTAAAACGTTGTGTAGTTTTAAAAATAGGTTAGATAAATACATGAGTGGGTGTGGGTGGGTGCGAGTTGGACCTGACTAGCTTGTGCTGCTGGGTCTGGTGCTGTGCTCCATCCTTGAGTGGAGGTGACCAGACTGGGTGGGTCATTGGGCTTATCCGGGGGGGGGGTTCATTGGGCTAATCCAGGGGGGACACATGGACCTGCTTCACATGGGTCAGTAGGCCTGTTGCAGTGTTCCTTCTTTCTTATGTTCTTATATTCTTGGAGGTTAACTGTACCATCAAATGATAGTCTCATGCAGATCCTAGTATCGTCTGCAAAGGATGACACGGTGCTGTGGATTACATCTCTGTCTATGTTTGATATGAGGATGAGAAACAGGATGGGAGCCGAGTACTGTGCCTTGTGGAACAGAGCTTTTCACTATGACAGCTTCCGATTTAACTCTGTTGACCACTATTCGTTGTGTTCAATTGGTTAGAAAGTTGAACACAGACAATCAGTGTAAAGAAACACGCCCAATGCTTCTACCCTCGCCGGGAATCGAACCCAGACTTTGCTGTGTGAAGCGAGAGCTTTTTTTCTGCCCCGTGGCCTGGTGAAGAGCATTAGCAATAGCAATAAGATCAGGAGATCAGGAACAGTAGCATTATGGGCATTACAAGCAGCAGTAGAAGGAGCAGTGCAAAGGTTCACTGACCTGCGGAGTCATAGCCCCGGTACTCGAGTCTCTCCAGCCCCCTGATGAGCAGTTCGATGATCTCCTCCCGAGACTTGGGTGACAGGAAGTTCAGGTAGGCGAAGATTCCTGTAATCACAAAACAACAGCATTAAAAAAAATCATAATGGCCTTAGATAAACATACTGTAGGCTGTAGTGTACATTGCCCCTACATACTTACAATTTAAAATCATTCAGTTTATAAACTTTATTCTGTGGATGCCATGCCTCATGCAGTTTCCTGTAGCTTTACAATCTTTCTAACACAGAGCGACAAACCTTACAAAATGTATCAAGTCTATTATCAACAGTATGATAACCATTATTATTAAATTTACTGAGGTGCAATTTTACACATTTTTTGAATAATTACAATTATTTTACATAGTAACATATTTGAATTACCTAGGAAGAGCTCTTGATCCAAGAAATTTGAGCTACATATCATCCCACTCCTCGGATCAAATCCAACTTTTCCTCTCATTCTTAAGGCGCTGTGCCACTTTACAAATTCTAATTATTATTAAAAAACATAATAATAATAATAATAATAATAATAATAATAATAATAATAATAATAATAGTTTACATAGTTTCTGAGCGATATTATACAATAAAATGACAAAATAATAAAATTAACAAGCATAAAAGCTTGATTTTTATCATTATATTTAACTTCATAAGAAAACTGATCAAGTTAAAACAATTTAGTACGCACCTAACCATAATTTTTCAGGGGGTGGACCGGTAAACCAGCTAAAGGCCTCAGTCAGATGACCAAAAGCTCCAGCGGCGGGTCATTATATGACTATGACCCACGTCAGGAAACACTTGTCCTGTTTCCTGACGACCCTTACCTAACTTAACCTAGTATTCATCGAGTACAAGAAAATAAAGGGGCTAAAGTTACCAGCTGCTACTCGACGGAACGCGGGTCTTACTGGATAATAACGTATGTACACCACAGAATAAATATATTTCTTGTCCGAAATCTGCCGACTAGCGGTAGTAAACTATTACCAATACATCATAACAATGTTTCTAGATAATTAAATTCGAAGAGACACATATAGCAAATTATAACACATATGATCCACTTAATATTTGTATTTATAACTCATTACAATTGTGACCAGGTGTGGACGTATCAGTGGTTCATTACTTTGTAATTTGTTCATGACTGTAACCATGTATAGGAGTGAAGCTGATTCATTACCTCTGTAACTTGCCATGATTAGTGACCAGATCTACCTGGAGTTCATTACCTTTGTAACTAGTTCAGCTATCATAACTTTGGGGTCCAGTCACTGGACCCATTATGTACCTTTGTAATCGTTTGACTACCGCAACAGATGGGTGTGGGGTGTAATGTTGTAAACTAAAGTAGTGTGTGTGTGTGTGTGTGTGTGTGTGTGTGTGTGTGTGTGTGTGTGTGTGTGTGTGTGTGTGTGTGTGACTCAACAATCAATATTTGCACCAATAACTCATTACAGTTGTGACCGGGTGTGGAAGTGTGAATTGCTCATTACTCTATAATTTGTTCATGATTGTAGCCAAAGTATAAACGTAAGTAACCATTCTACAGAATTCATTACCTTTGTAACTTGTGAGCTCATTACCTTTGTACCTAGTTCAGCTATAAAACTTTGGGGGCCCAGTCCCTGGACCCATTACGTACCTCTGTAATCTGTAAATACCTTTGTAACTTGTCATGATTGTGACCAGACTTACCTGGAGTTCATTACCTTTGTAAATTGTGAGTTCATTACCTTTGTAAATTGTGAGTTCATTACCTTTGTAAATTGTGAGTTCATTACCTTTGTAAATTGTGAGTTCATTACCTTTGTAAATTGTGAGTTCATTACCTCTGTAACTTGCTCAGCTATCAAAACTTTGGAGTCCAGTCCCTGGACCAATTATGTACCTCTGTAATCTTTTGACTACCGCCCACAGGATGGGTATGGGGTGCATAATAAACATATTAAACTAACTAAAAACTGCTCCATTTTTAATTATGTAAATTCTTTAATATTAAATGGGCTGAGCAATGGAGACAGTTATATCTGGGGATTATGGAGATACAACTTTTTTATGGTAACCAAAATAATATAATCTAACCTAACCTAGAATTTAAATAAAAATCTAGGCTAGGTCAGATTAAGTTGGACTCTATTCCTTTGATTACAAAAGATGAAAACTGTTTTTTCATATGGGCCCAACACCTAAATGCCCCTATTGCACAAACCATTAAATGTCAAACAGTCTGCATAACCTATATTAGTGAGCAACTAAAGTAATGACCTAATAATGAGACTGTCATAAATATGGCGTATAAAATCTTTTTCCGTGGTCATCGTTCAACCTATCCTCATTTTACCAAGCTAATTTTCTAAAACAATTCCTAGTCAATTTCTAAACGCTTCTTGTAAAATCACAAATACTAGGTTCTTTATTTACGTTATGTTACATTAACTTAACATCTACCAACAAATAAACAACATATATCAAGGAGGTGACCGCCCTGGGCTTGCACCTTCAGTTATATACCTGGAGAGCGTTCCAGGGGTCAACGCCCCCGCAGCCTGGTCCATGACCAGGCCTCACGGAGGATCAGAACCTGATCAACCAGGTTGTTATTGCCGGCTGCACGCAATCCAACATACGAACCGCAGTTTGAATACAAAGCTAAAAGTGACCCCACAAACTGTGGGAGATTGTGTTTAGTGAGAGGTTAAATCCATGGGGGTCATACAGCACCTGGGGAATGAGACAATCAGGATCGATCTAAGTGAAGGTCAAGTTCACCTCCTTGGATCAAGGAAGCCCTCATTAGCATCTGGGAACCTCCTCTAACGAGAAAACGGTTGGAGAGAAAAGAGTGATCCTTGAGACACAAAAACATTATTTTATTGGAGTGGCAGGATTGCCGATATGGTAAGGACATTACTTGAAGAGTAAACCTTTATTTAAAGATAGTTTCGCCTCTGTGCCAAAACAGCTTTTTTTTTTTTTTTTTTTTACAAGAAAAATTGTCATGTCCTTGCCACTCGGCATTCACTTGCTAAATGTCTCTCCAAACTCATTCCCCCCTCAAAAAAAGAAGAAAAATAAAACTAGACAGGTTCAAATATAGATCCGAAAGCATAGGAAAAGAGACTGAATAAGAGAGAACAAAGCAACACTGCAAGAGTCGATGACCGCAGGGCACAAGGTGGAAGACACCATAAACCAGAGAGATAACTAGTAATCTCACCAATCTCAAACTCGTGGTAAACTTTTATTGAGGTCTCACGTAATTTTTATAGTAAGTTGCGATGAATTTAACCTAGTACCGAATTCAATATTTATTTTTTTTTTAGATCTGGAAACTTAAATCTATAAGGACAAAAACTTATGGGAGAGAAGAATATCCTACCAGGTCATTCGCCATATAATAATCAGCAAAGACAAAACTGACGAAATAACAATGACAATGTTTTATCAGTCGAAGTGTTTCCTGCAGCTGGACGCGCGCGCGCACACATACCCACAGACAGATGGATGACATAATAAAGCTCTACCCTGAGCGAATAGTCTATTGAAGGTTTGCTCTGTACCAAGTGCCTTTTTGCCATACCTATCGGAAATACACATCATTCTACAAATGGACGGATAGATGACCAGTCAAACGGACAGGAGGACGGACGAGAGGAAGGCCAGACACACGACACGGACACAGGATGATGATGGCAATAATGATAGAGCAATAATTTTAATTATGTATTAAGTGGAACAAAATTAAAATTAACTGATGCGATATTGCACAGTGTGAAATAACAGCGGTGTTCACATTACTTAAGAAAAGATAACATGATGTACAATTTATGGAACGGGGAATAACATGTATAATTCACTTATAAACAAGCTATAAAGAGCAGTGTGAGTGAAGGGAGAGTGACCTCCAGGTGGGTAAGATAAGCCTAGGTGTATTATTATAATAAAAAAAAAGCGCTAAACCAACTAGAAGCCTAGGTGAAACAGGGGGAAGGGAGGCGAAAGGTTCTATCCAGATAAACATTTAGGGAGATATATGATGGGAGAGGGAGCAAGAATAGACAGCGAACATATGAGAAGGTTAAGGGCAAAAGAGATAGAATGATTTAAGCACAAGAACATCAAGGGCCTAGGGACTGGGGTAAGACAAAAAAAAAAAAAAGAGTACATATATACACAATTCACAACTTACAATCTGAATAGGGAAATTTAAATTTTCTATCCAAGGCGGATCGAAGTCTTTAAATTTCCTCTCCAAAGTGTGGGGTAGCTGAGAAATGTTCAGTCCATGGTACTGTGACATGTATTCTTGAATAAACAGATAAACGGGTTATGATCCTGTCATAAATTTGAAGTATCAAGTCAAGTCGGACTTGACACTTTGCTCGATCCTGAGCGAAGCGTCTAAAGTAAAGGCTTGTTCTATATTAATAATATTTACACTCAGTACCGGAATTACTAGCAACGGTAGCAGAAATAACAAAGCCACCTTTAGGATAATATTCACAGGTGTGGGGGGAGTAATCAGAGAAAGGGAAGGCAGGTCTAATTCCTTGGATCAAGGCACCTTGCTTCAAGACGCTCCTTTTGACGGGGGTCATTTATACTAGTAGCTGCAGAAATAGGCGCAATATTTGCAGAAACCACAAAAGATACTCAAATCTTTAAAATACATAGAGAATAAAGTAAACTCATACGCAGAGATACACTTCTCGGTAATTATAACCTGTATAAGAACAAAATTTATCAGTAGTAGCTAACACTGGCAGCTGCGAGTACGAGTGGGTTTTAGTAGAGAGGGAGAGTACACACTGGTTATGGGTTATACTCTACAAAGGCCACTTGAATGCCCTTCCTTTCACCTCGGCCCACTCAGTATCTGGCCCTACTTCCATGCCCTAAGAATTATTGAATTACCCCATCTCAGGCTGACATATTTCATTACCCTATGTATGTAATCTATTACCCTGTTTGCAATGACAAGTATAGCAACATTTTGTTCCCACAATGTAACTGTGGAAAATACTGTATATATTTTCCAGAAATACAGTAGTT